AGAGCGCTAATGGATGATGTTAGTGCCTTCCTGGGTGCACCTTTGCAGACTGTCCTTGCCTGCCCTGGGTCACGTTGTCATCAGCTGTGTTTCCAGCTGGAGCAGAGCAGCCCTTGCTGGCCACCAGTGTAGCCTGCCCAAGGCTTGCACCCAGTGACCTGCAGCCTGGGGGGAGTGGTGGCCGTCAAGTGCTCGTGGCTTGCTGGGGTGAGGCTGTCTCAGCAGTGGAAGGTGCCACTCTGCATGTCAGCAGCTGGTAACTAGAGGCAGCTCTTGGATGTGTTGGTTGGGGTCCCCCCAGCTCCCAGGAGCACAACCGAGTGCTTTGTTCCTGCCTGCACAGGGAGGCCTTTCTGGTACCTGGGTTTGATCCAGTTGTAGGGATGGCTTTGAGCTCCCCAAGATGCTGTGGCTAACTGCAGAGCAAAGATAAATGGACCTAGAAGGAACTGAGGAGGAAAGGCAAGCCATTGGAGCTAATGGTGGCTTAAGGATGGATCTGTGCATTCAGTCCTCCCTGCCCCCGCCTCTATTTCCTGCTGAAGCAGGCAGTGAGCAAGATCAGAAATTTAAATTCTGAGGCTAATTGGGAGAGACAACGGAGGACTTAACACAGAGAGTGAAGCACTGATGGGGTGTTCATCTGCCCTGACATTTCTCTGTGATTTTTAGGTAGTGGTGCTCTTGTTCTGCAGGGCTTGGATGTCTCACCCGGCCTCTGGAAGGTGGCAGGCAGGGGCACAAATTTCTCTTCTCCAGCTGTTTGCTGGGACAGCTGTTGAACGCGGCAGCACGAGGCTGGCTGTGGTCGGCTGGCAGTGTCTGTCTCGTCCCTATGGGCAGGCGAGCAGGAGATGTTTGCAGTGGTGTGGCCAGACTCCTTTCCAACTGTGAGCTAATACAACTCCAGAAACAACTGCGTCTTTTCCAGTAAAAGCCTCCCTTGCTCCACTTGCCTTGCGCAGTGTTGGACATCCCCATTCACTCTTTCTCAGCTTCCTCCTTAACAGAGGTAGTATTTTGAGAGATAATGGATCTTCCAAAAACCCTTGGAGAAGTTTGCTCCCTACAGGGAGGTGCTCTGGCTTGGTCTGTCGGGTTGCAATCCTCTTGAGACAACCCTACACAGTCTTTTGTGGTGCTGCTCTCCTCTTCCAGGTGGCTCTGGGAGCCCCCTGTTTGCAGAGTGTCTCTACTCCCTGGTAAAAGCAAGGTGCCTGAGACGCTTTGAGGGATGTGAAGAGAAAACTGCCTTGGCAGGTGCCACTGTCCTAAAGAGCATGTCCTCTTAGCTAGCTGCTGCCTCTGATCTTGTTCTCCCAGTGCTTTCTGTTGGTTTCAGAAACATCCCTCCTAGTGAGGGGGTGTTCTTGCCTCATCCCATCAAGCCCTTAATCCTTCTATGGTCTGAAAGACCCGGCAGGTCATTCCCTCACTGTACCAGCATGTCAGAGCCTTGGCTTGTACCCAGGATCATCGCATCTGCTTGAGCTCCTGCCAGTGTCTAGGCTGAGCCCTTCCAGCTGCGGGGCTGCTGCAGGTCAGGCTGGTTGGCTTTGCATGTATGAGCACCGGAGACCTACAGGAGTACAGCAAGGAGAGGTGGTCCATCATCACAAGTGGAGGTTTATTAGCGCCAGAGCTATGAACTGTGTGTTTTAGGAGAAAAGCAGGATTTCCGTCGAAACTGGAGGTGCTGGAGGCTCTGGCCAAGCTTGGGGTAGGGTGTGCGTGGGGGGCAGAGGCCGGATCAGGCTGCTTGAGGAGGGGATGAAGAGCCACGAGGCTTGGGGAGCGGGATGAGGGATGGCCATCCTGCGTGTGCACAGCTGCTGTGCCTGCTTGGCTGAGCCTGGCGTGGGATGCAGGCAGCTCGCGGGGTTAAGCGCTCGCAGCCTTTGGAACACAGGGGGAGTTTCCTGTTGCTGCTGGGCAGGAGGAAACTACTTCCAGCTGTGGAGGGGAGGGGTGCTGGAGTGGGAGAAACTGGCCAGGGAGGAGGACCGCTGGCTGCTGCTGAGATGTGGCTCTGCTGAGCAAGCACCTCCGGATGACAGGGCCTGGGGAGGGAGCAAGTAACCTCTGTCCTTGCCCTGGGAGCTGCTGTGGTGGCCCTGTAAGGTGTCAGTGATGCTGCTGCCCGCGCTGTGAGCCTTCCCTGGCCTCTGCCAGTGCGAGGAGATAACCATGCCCCCGAGCAGCAGGGCGGCCGAAGGCTGGGGAGCAAGGGTGCAGCTGAGCTGGGTCCCTCTCACAGGCTATGGGAGAAGTGAAGGTGTCGTGTGTGGCACTGGGTGGGACCCCTCAGTGGGGAGGAGGATCTTGGCGTGAGGTCCATGCCTTTGATTCCCTCCACCTGTGGCTGGACTGACCGGGATGTGCCAGGCTGCTGTGTCGTGGAGCAAGCTACGGGGCCAGCTGGGAGCTGACCTGGTGGCACGCACTTGCCTTGTGAAGGTGTCTGGCAAGGAGTCTGACCATCCCAGTGTGCCTGGCTACCGACAGCTCCCTCAAGTGTGGTGCTGGTGCCTGAAGAGGAGCCTGGGATCCAGCAGATCTAACCTGATGAGAAGCTCCTGCTAGGACAGAGCCTCTGCCAACTTGCAGGGCTCCTCCCTGTAGGAGCCATCACAAGAGGAGGGACCCGAGGTCCCTGAGCTCGTGCCTGGGGCTGTTCAGTTACTGGTATCACAGCCCTTGTGCTGGTGGAGGGAGGATTTGGCTATCAAAGGCAGCTGTGCTTTCCGGGAAGCATGTGCTTATTGTCCCTTCCAGGTTCTGTGAGGAGGCTGCAGTGTCAGGGTCTTGGCAGTTTTCTGCATGACTCTGCGTGAAGGATTAAATGTGAAGCCTCTGGCTTTGCACCTCTGGGTGTCAGGCTTCTGCTTCTTACAGGGCAAAGGGAGTAGGGTTGGAAAGGACCCACTGAGGATGTGCTTAGATTGGAGAGTAATCCAAGGGCTGTCAGTGAGTCTCTGGGTGTCCTGGTCTTCAGCCCTGTCTCTTCTTAAGACCTGTGTGCAGCTTCTGGAGGTCTCATGCAGTTGGGGGTGAGGACACAGGTCTGCATCTCCACTCCTGGATAACTCTGCAGCAAGACTCGCATTGCATGTGTCAGCCAGTGCATCAGCTGGGCAGTGTGCTGCCTGCTAGGTAGTTAGAAAATAGCCAGCTCCTGTTTCTCCCTCGTTGCTAGCTGCCATCGCAGCCTGGAGTGGCTTTCTTGATGTCTCTTACATGCTTACAGCCTGCAGGGGAGACCTGACTCGGGCAAGAGGCTAGTAGGGCCACCCTTGCTGGGCACAGCCAGGTAGGGGTTAGATGAGGTGTAAAGCCTCTGCCAAACTAGATGTTTTGGCTGTGGCTGCGACTCTTCCTTTGCCCAACTGACCTGGGACCTTGCTTCAAGGAAGTCTGCCTGGCCTCGACCAAAGGTCCCTCTTAATGGGAGAGTGCCATGCATGGGGGTTGGAGCTGGTCTGGGAATACTGTTTCTTCTCCACATGACCTGGAGTGGTCCATGTGCTTGGGAGAGGAAGGTCTAGCCAGACTTGTTCAGGCAAGGGGACAACCTTGCCAGGATGGTCTGGCAAGGGGATCAGTTCATGCTGGGCTCTAGGGGAGTTTCTGCCTCTTTTTTTTTTTTTTCTTTTTCTAACCATCTTAAAGTCCATGATTCTGCTGGTATCCAGAGCCCTGAGCATACCAGCTGCTCTTGATGCCTGTCCTTCCCGAGACTGTGCTCTCTTCCCAACAGCTGGGGAGGGAGGAGAGGGGGGATGGCTGCTGTGTTTCACCCCGCTTTGCAAGCAGCAGCAGGACTGAGCTCTGCTAGCTGCTCCTGCTGCTGGATCTGTGCTCAGCCAAGTGGCACAGACTCACCTCCCACTGTTCTCAGGCGTGAAGCTGCCAACTCAGCCCAGCCTGACGTACCAGTCTCGCAGACCACACGGGAGCATCTGGGTATCTGATGCTATTCTACTGGACGTTGCCAGCTTGCCGCATCTACTGACAGGCTGGAAATTGTCTGTTCAGTTACTGTTCCCATGTCTGTTCGCTGGGTCCCCATCCAGCAGTCCTTCCTTGGTAAGGAACATGCCCGAGTAGTAGATGTAGCAGCAACGACCTGCGAGGGAAGCCTCCAAGTCTTGCTGGTTTGCAGCTTTATCAAGTTCTTCCCGTGACGTGGTCTGCCTGGAGCCTCTTCTGATGGCTGGGTTGTGGCTTAGAAAACTTCATGGGTCTCTTCTGGGGTGGATGAGCCAGTTCTTCTTATCCCATGTGTGTCATGTAGAGATGGTCTGGTTTAAGTGTGTGGTCTTGAGATGCTTCCTTCTGCTGGCTGAGGGCAAGACCGGCCACCACCTTGGAGTGCTACATGCCCAAAGTGAGCCTCCTCTGCCCTGCCTGAGCCTGAATGGGGGGAAAGATGTAAACTTGGGGTGTGTGGGGGAGTGGGAGCATGCTGGGGGGGGAAGAGCCCCTCCTTGCACACACTTGTGCAGTGGTAAACTTCATAGATAGCTTGGTGGCGAGGAGGTTTCCTAGCTTGAACAGTGGTGGTCTGCATGTTGTAGTGAGCTGGGGCCAGGCATGAGTGTGAATTTGGGGGCTGTCTTCTGGTTATCCCAATGGGCAGAAAGTACTCGAGACGTTGAGGCAAGCCCTGAGATGGGGTGGCTAGCTTTGTCCTTAGATGTGTGGGATCCTTAAGGGAGGACCTGTCTGGGTCCCCGTGCCTGGTGAGCCTGAGCCTGTCCTTGCCTAAGCCAGCAGAGCCGGACAGTGTGGGGCTGGCACGTTGGTTAGTGCCAGCGAGGCGCAGCCCCGGGTTGGAATGCTACTCGAACAGTATTTGGGGTTCAACCTGGAGCCTCCTTTCCCATGCTGGAGATGTCTTTGCTCAAGGGGCCTTGTACGTGGCCTGAAGGAGCTGAAGGTTTGGGCCCTGGTCGAGATAATTCTGGATCACAGACCTCTGGTGTGGCTTTCTTTTCCAGATGCGCTGGTACCCCCCCTCTGAAGCTACTCAGCAAGGATGGAAGTCTCGTCAGTTTTGTTAGTTCGTTAGTAAGTAATTAATTACTCTTGGAGCTGGGTCCTTGTCTTGCTCGTCCCTGGGCTCATTGGACTCCTGTGGGGAGGAAGGATTGGAGCTTGGGCTCAGCCCCCTGGTTCCACCTGAGAATGCGCTTGGGTTACACTGGTGGGTGAGGGGGCTAAATCGTCCCGGGTGGGAGCAGGGAGACCCACCAAGCTCTGGGCGGGGGGTGGGGTGGGGAAGGGACTCGGGGTGCTGCTCGGGTAGTGGATCCAGCCAGCCCCGCTCACTGCCGCTCCTCTCCCACAGTGTCTCTCCTCGGCTCGTGTTCCTCCTCCCGGCCTCTCCGTGGAGGGATGTGCCAGGGACGATCGCTCAGACTCCTCTCGGTTTGGTTTGCGGCCAGCAGACAAGGCGCCCGGCCCCTGTGTGCTCTCCCCCACCCCGGGGGTTGCCAGCATCCCCCCTCCCCAGACTGTGAAGCCGCCGCGGTCCCCTGCCGCGGGCCGTGCGCCGTCTCCATCCATCCATCCATCCATCCATCCATCCATCCATCCATCCATCCATCCATCCATCCATCCATCCATCCATCCATCCATCCCTCCCTCCATCCCTCCATCCCTCCATCCCTCCATCCCTCCATCCCTCCATCCCTCCATCCCTCCATCCCTCCATCCCTCCATCCCTCCATCCCTCCCTCCCTCCCATCCCTCCATCCCCAGGACATCCTCCCTGACTGAGCTTTGCTGTCCAGCTGTGCCGAAACCCAGCCGGGGGGGGGTGGGTGGGTGGGGGGGCTCGGTCCTGGGCTTCCCCGGGCTTGCCCTGCCCTGGAGGCTTGGCTGAAGGAAACGAAAGGCAATGGGTTTTGCATGTTTTCTGGCATGAATTAAAACACTTAACTTGTGTCTGTGTGAGTGTAAGTTTGTTTGTTCTAGCGTTTGTGTAACCGTTAGCAACAGGTCTTGGCCCAACGGATTGATCCATCAAGGTTTTCGTCTTGCTTTGGTGAAGACTTGGCTTGGAGAAATACTAACTGTCCTTGTCTCACCCCTTCTACCACCTCCACCCTCCCCTTCCCAGTACAACCAGAAAAATTTGAAAAATGTTTGGGTTGTTGTTTTTTTTTTTTTTTTTTTCAAGTATGATGCACTGGCTTTCTGTTCTCATCCATTCTTCTCTGGTTTTAAAGTCAGGGTTAATATATTATTACTTTTTTTTTCCTCCTTCAGACTATATATAGAACGGCTGTAAAATATCTAACCTCTTTTTTCTTTTGTTTCCACATCATTCTGATTGGAGAGCATCCAGTCCTGCCAAATAATCAGCCATCCTTATGGGAATACCGAACAAAAAAAAAGTACGAGTATTTTTGTACCATGTGTAATAAGGAAATATTTATGCATCATAAAGAATTTCTTGTGTGTTTGTGTGCAATTAATTATTATTATTATTATTATTATTATTATTATTAAAGAGAAATTGTAATCCTGTAAGATAAGTTAAATGTTTAGTTAAAAGCTTGAAAGAGAAGGGTTGTCTTCCGTAACAATGATTCAGTCAGGCATAGTAAACAAGAAATTGTGCAATTTTTGTTTTAGCATCTTATTGCTTGGTATTGGAGTGCTTTAAGTATTATACGACCATGGCTGTCTCGCTTGTATTAAAAAATTTGAGAATAAGTTGCTATATAATTGCTGATCCTATGAGAATGTGAAACTGGATAATATATGAAATGCAACAAAAAAAAAAAAAATATACCCAGAGGCTGCTGTGATTCTTTTTTTGTGGTCTCTCGTGTTTTCTTCTGGGGCTGGGGTGGGATGCTTCAGGCTTGGTGTTACCTTCCCACCTTCCCCTGGAAGGATGGAGCCTGCTTGGGGGGGTGCTGCCGAGGACCGCGAGCGGTTTAGGGCACCTTTCCCCCTAGGAACAGGGCAAGTCCTCGCTTGCACCTGCAGGTGTCGAGGGGGCTGTTGATGGCTGATCTGGAGGCCCCTGTGAGCTTTTTTTTGGGGTGTTTTTTTTTTTTTTTTTTTTTTGTGTTTTGTTTTTTTTTTGTTTTTTTTGTTCTTCCCCCCCCCCTCTCCCAGTGCCTGCAGAGGCTGCGGGCCTCTCCTCCGTGCCAGCGCCGTCGCTCCCTGCCAGCGGTGCGGCGAGCAGAGATGTCCATAGAAGGCAAACGTCCTCCCCAGCTGCAGCGGGGCCCAGGGCCTGCCCTGCTCCTCCTCCGGGGCCCCCAGCATCTCGGGGGGGCCTTATCTGCACCCGGGGGAACCGCAGCCCTGGGCTGGGGGGTCAGCCTGGACGGATGAAAGCGGGGCTGGGTGTCACAGCAGGAGCTGCCTTGGAGGCAGCTTGCTTAAATCCAAGAGGGGTGGCCTGGGGTGTGTGGGGGGGTCTCCCTGCTGTGCTAAAGGGGTCCCTGTAGCTCAGCTCCGTGAGTCCCTGTGACGGGGTGCTCCTCAAGCCCTCCCACATAACTTCTCCCTCCAAGGGTCGGTGTTTTCCTCTCCCTCCCCAGGGCTTCGAGGGCAGCGCTAAGCAAAGGCAAGGAGTAAGGGGGGGGGGGGTAAAGAAAAAAAACAAAAAACAAAAAACAACCACCAAGAAAAAGCAAAAGGCAGGTCTAAAAATAGCCCTGCTGGCCACTGTGCCTGGGAACTGGCTCTGCTGAGCTCTGCCGCTCTGGGAAGTGACTCGCTGTGGGGCCACGGGCTGCCCGAGCGGCACTGCCAGCCCCTTCCCCACGGGATGCCCTGCCTGTGGTCCAGGAAAAGCTTGTGCCTCCCCCCCAGCTCCTGCAGGCCCCCTCTCCACTGCTGGGTCCGTCCTCATCTCATGGCTCTGCTCACCTAAGCAGAAATGCCCTGGAGAGCCGTCAGGGCCTGGTGATGGGAGCATGCAAGGCTTTAAATTATAAAGGAGATTTTTTTTTTTAAAAAAAAAAAAAAAAAAAAAAGCGCCTTTAGCACATGCATTAACATGGCCAGGCAATAAATAATTTACGCCTGGCTCTATTAAGCTTTTACACTGGGACCCATGCAACATGGCTCGCCTCGGAGCTAAAGTAGGTCATGTCTGCTCCGAGGGGCCCCCGGAGTCCCCCTCCGTGGCCGGGGTGAGCACGGCAGGGGCGTGTGTGCACGCCCGTGTGCGCTTGCTGCCTCTGTCCGTGTCTGCTCGGGTGTGTGGGCAGTGGCCCTTGCCTCTCCCAGGTGGCTCCCACTCGTGTCCTACCCAAAGGGACACTCTCCGGGCAGCGATTTGGGGACAGGGAATGTCCCCGGTCCGCGGGTGGGATTGGAGTGCCGGGGTGGAGGGCAGCTCTGGATGGGGCACAGCCTGACGGCAGTGCCAGCGAAAAAGGTGCAGGTAGGTGGCATGTAGGTCCTTTGGTCCTTGGAGCTGCCTGGACCTGCTGGGCAGTGGCTGTAGGAGAAAGCAGCCAGAGGAGAGAGGAGATGGCACTGGGGCTGGAGGAAGAAGGAATGGGGGAAAAAGCTGGTTTTGGCACACTTTCATTTTAAATTTTACTGGAAACTCCCCCTCTCTTTTCCTTGTTTTGAAGGCGGGACAAAAAATAAATCAATCTGGGAGCTTTCGGGCCATTTTTCTCTTGAAAGCGCTGCGCTCTGACACAGCATGTGGTCCAAGCACTGCTGCAAGGAGCACTTTGGAAACAGAAAATCCAGCTGTTCTGATGCAAAAAAAAAAGCCTCTTGGCATGGCTGCACTGGACAAGCTGCTGTGGAGCTGGCTTGGGCCCCCGCGTGAACTGATGAGACACGCTCGCAGCAGGCCAGGGTGTCTTCAGGGAGGCCAGATGCAAAACTCAGACCCTGCTTGAAACCAGACACGTAAGAAAGGAGGCAGGTCATTTAACACCTGCAATCATCCACGGGACCTGCCGGTCACAGGAGACTGCAGAGCTCCATCTCTGAGGTCAGGAGTGCCTCGCAGCGCCGATGCTCTCCTCGTGGTCCCACGCACCTTTGCTGATGGTTAAGGGTACCCAGATGCAGCTCAGTCGTGCAGGTTGGATGACCTGGTGCCGTCAGCCCATTTCTACGGCAAATGCGATGAAGAGCAGTTCAGATGGCTTCTGCACAGGATCAAAATGGCTCCTGCAAACCCCAGCAACTTCCCTCTGTTGGTTTGCACTGGCAGCCCAGGGAGAAGAGCCTCTGTCACCATCTCCTTTCCCCACGGCATTCCTCCTCGCTCAGGCTGAAACTTTTCTTAGTTGAAGACCATTCTGAAGACCACTGATGCCCTACCAGTTCTTTGTCCATTGGGCAGACACCAATGGCCACAACCATGAGGAGTTGTCTCAGATAGCCCCAGATCCATCCTGCATCAGGCTTTAGCAGCCACCTCTCCCAGCTGACTTCCAAGAAGCTGCAGCTCATGTAATGTTGCTGGGATTTCCCTGGCAAATGTGTGTGCTCCAGCCCCGTGGGGATGAGGAGGAGCAGGTCTGCTGCGGTCAGGGAGCAGCACATCTACCAGCTCGGTGGAGCCCCAGCCCAGCTGCGGCACGTGGCCAAATAAAATGAATGGCCAAGCTGCTTGATGATGGATAAACTTGGTAGCACACCTCTGGAAGAGGCAGGTTTGGCTGGTGGGTGTACAAGTAGGCTTACCCAGGCCAGAAACATCACCGGGAGGGCAGAAAGTGCTAGGAGGTGATGGAGACCAAGCAGGAAGGAGAAAGCATGCTGGCTGCTCCTTATCTTGCATTTCCTTATTGCACCGTGCCTCCTTTCATGAATTTTGCTTATCTTTCAGGCTCGGATATTGCCATACTGTCTTATAGCTCCAAAAATATCTTTGCTATCCCCCTGCCAACCACCCGCTTGTTACGTTATTCCCCCACCCAGCACGAATTCTGTAAAGACTTAGAAACGGCATCCCGGTACACCAAACGGTGAGCACGGAAAGACACAGGTGCACAGGGGTCATATAAGCTTGTAGGGAGAAAACCAGACCCTGTACCGTAACTGCTGGGAGAAAGGTGAGAGGTACCAGGGCCCATCCCGAAGCGATGGATCACAGCCCAGAAGGGATTTGGGAGTCAAGGTGCTGCTGCCATGGGATCCTGCACAAGAGCCAGAAATACCGTAGTAGCGAGTGGGTGGCTGGAGGGTTATTAGTTAGAGGAGTTACCACCATCCTGATTCAAAAATACGTGGGATCGGGTCTAGATCCTCAAAGAAGAAAAGCTGCTCTGAACCAGTGAGGCTTTGTTATTTCTGACAGTGTGATGGGAACGGTCCCCCCGGCCTGTGCTGTCACCGCGTGTGAATGAGATACACAGTACAGGGGGAAAGCCAGGAGGTGGCATCCGAGACCTGAGCACACGGAACCAAGGCACTTTCCCAAGCAGGAGCTTAACAGGAGTTTGCAGCTTGGGACAGTGGCAAAAACATGCCTAGGTTTTTGTCCTGCACCTTCCTCTTCCCCTCAGGATGGGGAGAGGGTAAATACTTCAGACCGAGAATCTCTGTATTAAGTCAACAGAGGAAAATCTCTTTACTTTTCTGGTCAGCTATAGCATTCTTACCAAAATACACTGACTCTCAGTG